GAGGACAGAGTGTGCAGAGAAGACAGGGCGGGTGAGAGTGGGAAGGGTTGGGTGTGGAGGGCAGAAATGGGCGGGAGGGCAGAGGGGTGTGGGGAGGACATTAGGCTGTTCGCAGGCGCCTGGCGCAGGCCAGGGTGGGCGGGCTCGCACACCCCGCCAGTTGTGCAAGGGACAGGCCTAAGAAGACCACATCAACCGCAAGCAGCACGTGGTCAAGGCTATCAAAAGCCGCGAACGCGTCGCCCCTCGGCATGTGTGGCGCCACACAAACACCCACCTGTCCCGCGCGCCCGCCAGCCGCAGCACGGCGTCGTGCTCCGCCGCAACCCCCGGCGGCACCTCGAACAGCAGCCCTGGCGCGCCCGCGCCCGTCCCACCCGGCGCGAGGGCCGCCGCGTCGCCGTCTGCGAAGCCGGTGCCGACCCACACCACAGGGGCCGACCTCAGAGACAGCTCCAGGTTCTCCCGCTGCAAGGGGTCAGCAAGGGCGTCCCCCAAGGCGGCGTACAGGCGCAACGCAGCCTCCGCCAGCTTCTTGGCAGCTGCCGGGGCGTCTGTGGGCCACTCGGCTGTCGCGGGGTACATGCGTGCGAGCTCGACAAGCTGGGCGACCGCCATGGGCGCCGGCAGCGGCCGTGCCCAGCCGAGCAGCCGGCAAAGCGGCGCGCCGGCAGGGCCGGCACAGAGGCGGAGGGGGGCGGACGCGACCCAGGCTTCGCCGGCAGGCCGAGCCATCCGCGGCGGCGCGAGCGCCAGCGGCTGCGTGCCGGCGGCGGCGCCGCTGGCGCTGCCGCTGCGGTCTGCCGCCCCACTGTCGCTGCCGTCCGCTGCTGCAGCCCCCTCCCGCTGCTCCTGGGTTGGCGGCGGCTGGTGCGGCCAGGGCAGGCCGGGCTCTGGCGGCGAGACGAGCACAGGGCACCAGGCAACGTGCTGCAGCGCTGACCAGATCGCCTCCTCCGACTCGGGCACATGGCGCGACTTCCCGCGCTCCGCCCACGCGTCCAGGCGCCGCAGCAGCGCGTGCGCGCGAGGCGAGGCGCCGGGCGCGGCCTCGCCGCCGGCCGCCAGGGCCTCGGCGGCCTCCGCCAGCACCTGGTGTGGGGGCGGTCGTCGGGACAGAGGGCGGCGGTGTGAGCGCATGGGTTGGTCTGTGGCTGCTGTGTGCCGCTTGTTTAGTGGCTGTGTTGAAAGATCGCTGGACAGCACGTCCAGGAGCGCGAGCCGGCATCAGAAGAGGTTTACGGGGCCACGAGCGCGTCCCTCACTGCCGCCAACCGCCAACCGGCCGACCCACCGGCAGGTCAACGCCCCGCCTGAGCCCCAGCGGCGCCAGCGCCGCCAGCAGGGGCCCCGAGTCGAACGGCGCCGCGGGGAAGCGCGACGCGTCGAACAACAGCGCCAGGTCGCCGCTGCCCGGGTCGAACAGCTGGGACGGCGGCCGTGGGGGGCCGGCGCGCGCCGGGATCAGGGCGTGCGTGCTGCGTGGGGCGCGGTGGGGTTGGGGGTGCGTCCCATCGTCACGTTCAAGGGTGGGCGTCGTTTGAGAAAAGTGAAGAATGTATTGGTGGCATGGCAGCACCCCTGGATGTCGATCCCGTTTCATGCGTTGACAACAACCCGCGCCCAGCGAAGCCAAAGGGTGGTGCATCCAGCGCCGTCAGGGCTGCCAATCAGTGAGAGTGGCTGCTCGCTGCAGCCGGCCGGAGCCATGGATTCCTCGTGCGACCGCGTCGGCATTCCGCTCACACGGCCGAGCCGCAGCCCGGCACCCCACCTCAAGACCCCCGCCAGGTCCGGGTCGGCGCCCGCCAGCTGGC